TTCTTTATCTTTCTGTTTTGTTTTCGTCTTTCTTATGTTAGAGGCTTTCCTCAAATGTCTGGTGATCCTTGATTGTACATTTATATTCAAGAATGAGACACTAAATTGTAGGTGGGCCTTGCTAACTTACTATGAGATAATTTGGCAAGACTTTTTCATTGGGGGGTGTCCAACCATTACCTTTAGGACTTTTCTCTTTAATTGGTCATATTCTCCAGAATAGAATCTTCCAACTCTTCCCTGGAGATTAATAAGCCTAGTGGTAAGCCAGTGTTCTCAGAGTTGTTAGAGAAGGGACTAGGGGCTCAATGTTCAGTTTGTAGACTTTTACTTAATCCCTTGCAAACTTTCACTTAATTTCCATTTTTTGTACAGATTCCTTGCCCTCAGCTCTGCCTGGTGTCTCCAATCTAGAGTTCATCTGGTTTACCGTCTCCAAAGAAAAGCCTTCTGCTGATCTTGAATAGGGAGAATCACCCAGATATAGGATGTGGAGGAAAAGAGTGGTCTGCTTCTTAATCATTTATATTCCTACTTTCAATACCACTTTGAATTACCTAGTTCTGCTAATCCCAAATCCTTTCTAGCGTTTTAGTTACAATTTTCAAAGTTTTGTTCTTGTCTCCTGCCTTGTTGTCTTTGTTCTTATGCTTTTCTTTTTCTTCTTTAAAACAAAAAAAGGGCCGGCCCCGTGGCTTGGTGGTTGAGTGAGCGCGCTCCACTGCTGGCGACCCGGGTTCGGATCCCGGGCTCCCACCGGCGCGCTGCTTCTCCGGCCATGCTGAGGCCGCGTCCCACATACAGCAACTAGAAGGATGTGCAGCTATGACACACAACTATCTACTGGGGCTTTGGGGGGAAAAAATAAATAAATAAAATCTATAAAACAAAAAAAACACAAAACTCCCCACTGCTATTTCACAGGTGTTTTGGAATGGAGCAGCGGTAAATGCATGTGTTTAAATCTTTAGCTAGAGACCCTGCTGGTCTCCTTTCCCCAGTCTTTTACCCTATTCCAATTCATTTTTACACTACTGCCAGAGTGATCTTGATATAATGATACTCTGTTCTAATCATCTCTTCATTAAAGCCCATCAGTAGTTCCCATTGCCCAATGATAGGTTGTTTCTCTGCATAATGTACAAAGTACCCTGTATAATCTAACCCTTACCTGCTTCTCCAGCCTCGTCTCCAGCCTCGTCTCTTGTTTGCAGCATTACTTTTTAAGAAGTATTTATGGTTTTGCTAACACCCAATGTTCTTTCCTTCTCCATATTTTTGGTTATTCAGTTGATTCTACGTGGTGTGCCCCACCCCATCATTCTCTGCCTGGTAGCTGCTCCCACGTCAGGCCATCTCTTCTATGAAACCTTCTTGACTCATCATTCTCATAGCTTGTTCTACATATGATATTGTCAGCATTTATCATCCAATATTGCAGTTATTTATTTACACGTCTGTCTCATTTACATGTCTTAGTGGAATTTGAGCTCCTTAATGATAGAGATTATGTCTTAGTTATTTCTGTATCTTCAGAAGTTCACAATGTCTGACGTGAACTTGAGGGCCAGTATGTGTTTTTAATTTATTTGTTTCCTGACATGTACACAGCACACTGTACTCGGCTTTTGATGGAAAAAGAGATACAAAGCTAACAGAAATGTGTACACAAATATCTCTCCATGTTATTCAAAACTCTACATTTTAATGGCTGCTAAATTTTTCATTGTATGGTTATACTATAGTTTATTTAACTGGTACCCCATTGTTTTGTATTGGTTAATGTTTCCAACTTTTTGCTATTTTAAATTGTGCTGCAGTGAACCTATATGTAGCTAAATTTTAGGGTACATCCATGGTTTTGGACATAGATAAAATTCTTAGAAGTTAAAATGCTGAATTAGGAGTAATGTCTGTTTTAAAGGCTTTTGATTTATAGTTCCTTCCAAGTAAGTTGTACTAATTTATATTTTCACCACCAATTCATTAGGGTACACATTTTTCTGCACTCCTTCCATTACTACTACTTCTATAATCATCATCACTACCACCACCATAATCATTATCATTCCTTGCTAAAATTTATAGATGAAAATATTTCCCTTGTTTAATTTGCTGTCTCTGGTTAGTAATGAAGTTGAGTATTTTAAAAATGTTTGTAAATAATTTGTATTTCATTTTCTAAGTTGCCTATTTGTATCTTCTGACCATTTTATATCCAGATATTTTTTTCTTCTACTACCCCAATTTTTTTCCTAGGAGAATGAGAGATACTATAGCACTGTTTATGAGAGTACATTGTTTCCTTTGACAGTGAATTTAATATTATCTAATAATATTTATATATATAACTTAAAATAAAAATAAGTACAGTAAAGCTGTGTCCGGGTGTAATGACCAAATTGCTTATTTTCATAACTTTCTGTAAGAATCTTTTAATCTTCACCTAAAATATTTACAAGTAGGCTAAGGTGAAGAGAAAATCTATCTCCTAAACAGAATGGGGCTGGCTGGAAGCAATTTTACAAGAATCTTTTGGGGGAAGTCATTTTTAAGAAATATTTTAAACACACAAATATACCATCTTAACCAATAGCTGTTTAACTAAAGCTACTGAATTGTGCAAACATCACACAATCCAGTTTTGGAACATTTCCATTACCCCAGAAAGTTCCCTCATGCTTGTTTGTGGTTAATCTTCATTCCTACTCCAAATTCCAGGCAATCCCTAATCTACTTTTTGTCTTTATAGATTTGCCTTTCTGGAGTTTATATAAATGGAATCATAGTATACGTGGCCTTTTGTGTCTGTCTTAATGTTTTCAAGGTTCCTCTATGTTGTAACATGTATCAGTACTTCATTTCTTTTTATTGCTGTGTAGTATTCCAGTGTATAGACATACCATGTTTTGTTTATCCATTCATCACTTGATTGACATTTGTGTTTTATTTTCCAAATATAGTTTTAGCTCTTACATTTAGGTCAATAATCTACCTTGAGTTGATTTTTGTGCATACTTAGAGGTAGGAGTTCAACTTCATTTGTATGGAGATATCCAGTTGTCTCTGTACCATTTGTTGAAAATATGCTTTCTCTCACCAAATTGCCTTGGCACCTTTGTCAAAAATGAATTGACCATAAATATAAGGTTTTATTTCTGGACTTTCTTTCTGTTCCATTGATTTCTATGGCTATCCTATGCCAATACCACACTCTCAATTACTGTAGCTTTATAGTAAGTTTTAAAATTGGGTAGTGTGATTCTTGCAATTTATTCTTTTTCAGGATTGTTTTGGCTATTCTGGGTCCTTTGCCTTTCCATGTAAATTTTAAAGCTGGTCTATTTCTACAAAAACAGCTTGCTGGAATTTTCATAGGGATTACATTGAGTTTGTAGATCAATTTGTGGAGAATTGCCATCTTAACACTATTGAGTCTTTCAATCCATGAATATGGAATATCTCTTCATTGTTTTAGATTTTCTTTAGTTTCTTGTAGCAATGTTTTGTAGTTTTCAATGTCCAGGTCTTATACTTCATTTGGTAAGTTTATTCTTAAGAGTTTTAATTCTTTTTGATGCTATTGTGAATGGAATTGTTTTCTTAATTTTATTTTCATATTGTTCAGTACAATTATTTTTTAATAATGTCAAAATGTGTATGGTGTATTTCCCCCAAAATTTTGACTATCACTAGCATTTTACTTCTAGCATGATATGTAATTTAACAGGCCTGCAGGAACCAATCACTGATGCATATCATGGGACCAGAACTCTGGGCAGTTAAGTGCCTTGGTGCAGTTTTTGCCCTTAAAGGATGAAACTCCTAAAAAATTTAATACAGAAATAGTCCTGAGAATTCAATTTGAAGACACAACAAAATGTTTATAGTAAGGTTCTCTTAATAATGCTGACTTTTGTTTCTTGACATTTCATTGATTTTTAAAATTTTTATAAATGTACTCCTTTGCATTTAATATATATCAATCAGCAAATTAAGTAGATTGTGCTTATGTTGACACTTCTGGCCTCAAGTTAATAGTTTGTTGTAGTGCTCGTTTGTGCTTCTATCACATTGAAAAATGGTGTTTAGGGGGAAAAATTGAACCTTGCAGTTAGTTATTACAGCAAAAAGGAGATGTATTTTGCCAGACTCAATGTACACTGTTTTTCTAGCCTTTCGGTAGGCAACCATCATTTAAATCACTTGTTCTTAAGGTGTGATCTTGCAGAATGCCTATGTGTCATAAGAGAGGATGAGGTATTATACTTTAAAAACTGAATAACATTGGGGCTTTTCCAGTTGGCTGAAGAAAATTAAAGTATATTGTTTCAAATTTTTAGTTTTTCCCTTGTAAAGTTTTTCTTAAATCTTTCACACCAGTTATTGTTTATCGACTAGCGAGCATTAACGAACACTAATACAAATGACTAAGTTTATTTGTGCACATTAATAGAAAAACTCAGATTATCATGCTTACTTCAACAGTTTATTTTTACTACAGAAAGTTACTCTTTTATATGGCAAAATTAATGGTACTTTGTGTTGCTCTGCCCCTGAGTAAATTTAAGGACCACCAAGTTAAATAAATCGTTAGAAAGGAACAGAAATGTGAATACAGCCAGTGTACTAATTTGCTTATAGGCAGCAAAAACCTACCAATTTAATGACCAACTTGTATGTCACTTTTAGGCTGTAATGAGTAAAAAGCGCTTAACACTTCTCTTGAACAAAACATAAATGTCAAGTAGACTGTTATTTGTCTAAAAGCTAGGGAGAGCAAATCAAGAACAGTCTTGTCCACTGTTTTTATAGTTTCCAAGCAGATAGATGAATGTTTTTTTTCTTCTGAATTTTCTATACGTAAAGCTATTAAAATCAATATGTAAAGTTTTATGAATCATATGTTGAAGGGAAAATGTAAGTTATTATGTTCCTGAGATTAATATGGTCAAATATTTTGACCTGAGATTAATGATGCCTGACTTTTCCACCTACAGACATCCTTCAAAGAAGGGTAGAAGAGGTAACACAGGTTTTTGAGGATTGTCGTCGCACGGAGCAGGAACGCAATATCAGGATTGCTTTTCGTTGAATGACCATATCTTCAGCATGTTGTTTTGGGATATACATTAACTACAAATTTTGATGATGTTAAATAGAGTAGTATTTACAATTACTAATTAATCTTTGGTTGCAATAAAATGTGCGTGTATTTGGCTTTTTTTTCCATTTAAATATTGCGCTGTTGAGAATTATACTGTAGTTTGGTTTTTAGTATTAGCAAATCAAAACTATATTAGCCCTTTTGTCTAGGCAGTAACCTATTAGATCTTGACTCTGTGTGTGTAATTTGTATCTTATTCTCCTAGATTCCATATCTTGCCACGAGCACACATCGTCCTTCTAACTCCAGCCAGATCATAGAGAAATGTTTGCCAAAAAATAAATGCCAACCAGTCTTTACTGGGTGCCTGTTGACATTTAATGTACACTGTATAGTGCTAGATACTATGAAGTCTCTCTCCTCAAAGGAAATTACTGTCTAGTTTGAGATATAATTAATGCCTATCTGTATAAAAACAATATAGCCAATAAAAGGAAGTGTGTTATCAATTACCAAAAGTGTGCTATAGAAATTCAAAGGGAGGAAAAGTTAGGGTGGATTTGGGACTTGAATTAGGTTGTTTTTAAAAGGGCAAGGTTCAGGCAGTTTGTTTATTTTTGATGTACAGGTATCCTCGTGTTTTACTTGGTTTTAGCATATGATTTCTAGTTGTTGGTTTTTGTGTAATTGTTTGTTTTTTTTTTAAGAAAAAGCTTTGTTCTTAGCTTGGGAATAGTCTGATCTCTTGTGTTTCATGTTTCACCTAAGTCATAAATAAAGGTAATGTTCTAAAAAATAAAAGTATCATACCAAAATAAACTACTTAAAAGTTTTTGAGTGACTAGAGTTTAATTTCCTGTAATTACTCAGCTGAATTTTTTTTGTACTGACTGCACGTGACCATCCTGAGGGGGTATATATTACGGGAAGAAAATATTTTTGAAATGAGTATTAGTGATTTTCATCACCTTATGAGTAAACTAAATATCAGAACTTACATTGCCTCTTTTTTTTTTCCTATCCCAACTTCTCAAAGTAGCAGCTTCTTATCAGGTGAGTTTTTCTTACCACTCAAAATTATAGAATATGAAAATAATCCAGACACCATTTAATTTTGTGGATGATTTCTGTAGGAAAACAGCTTTTGAGTATAATCTTGAATAATCTCTAATTTTTGAGTCTAGTGTTATTAGTATTATACCCTAGATAAAGACATTTTCCCTATTGTTTTTGAAGATTCAACTCTTGTAAAGTAGCCTGTGCATAAGTTAATTTCCATGTTCTGTAAAGAGAATGTATTGTATTGGAGGAAACACTGGATTTAGTCTTGTCCCTGCCTAATTAACTGGAGAAATAATTCCATTTTGGGCATTATCTTTTGTCTATAATATGAATGAGACCATATTAAGTTTTTCCCAACTGAAAGAAACTAGTTTTCATTTCTCTGAAGTTTTGCGATTTCCTTTCACTACCAGTAAATGCTTACTGTAAAGTTCCTCAGTAAAATAAAGAAAGAGGAGGATACTATACTCCTATTGACTTTTCACTGGGAGTTCTAGTGTTTTTTCCAGGATATAGAAGAGGCCACTGGATGGCAAGTGGCTTCCAGATCAATACAGTAACACTGTAAGATTTACTAGTAGATCTCAATGTACTGTCTGGAATCTGGAGCCTTGGACTAAATCATCTCTCAGGTTCCTTCTGACTTTAGTTCTAACATGTGTCTAAAAGACATGACATCGTTGAACAAATATTAATTAAAAGATCAGAAATAACCTGTTTTTCCCAGTAATTTTAAGGCAAATTTTATGTTAGGTACTAGAGTCTTGAGCCCCTCCTAACCATTGTTAAAGACCAGCTAAGATATTAGCTGAAGGAGAATTCTTTTTTTTTAAAGATTTTATTTATTTATTCAGTTTTTTCCCCCCAAAGCCCCAGTAGATAGTTGTATGTCATAGGTTCACATCCTTCTAGTTGCTGTACGTGGGACTCGGCCTCACGTTGGACGGAGAAGTGGTGCCCCGGGGCGCTCCCGGGATCCGAACCCGGGCCGCCAGCATCAGAGCGCGCGCACTTAACCGCCAAGCCACGGAGCCGGCCCAGCTGAAGGAGAATTCTTAAATTTATCGTGTTGACACTTTGCTGGTGCTTATCTACTTTTTTTGTCCTTTGAAAAAGATGCTATATTTATTCTCTCTATAACAGCATTTATACCATCTCATCTGGGGAATTTGAAAGACATGCACAGTTGTTTTCTCTTAATATTTGATGAGTGATGCTATCCCTCTTCAAGAGAAGATTTTTGTTTTTAGCATCTTCTTCATATCTGGAAATTATAATTGCTTCATAATGTAGTCATCAGAAGTGTGCTGTGAACAAAGCACCTAAAAAGGACAAACTCTGAAAATACGTCTATGTTAAGGAGGAACTTCTGGCTTAATTAAACTAACCTTGTTAAATTGTTAGACAAATCAGACATATTTTTCAGTTTGTCATAAATTCTTTTAGGGTTGAAATTGTGAAATTACCTCATGGTAAGATCTCTGTGCCCAGGAATAACATCTAGAAATCTCAAAGCTTTTTATTCACTGTCTGATATCCTTTCAAAGCAGGGAGAGGGATGCTGTGGGAAATGCAATAGCTATTATTCCACAGTTAATAAGTTTGGCAGAGCTAGAAATAGGCTGGTTTTCCTTCTAGTGCAATTTTCTGAATGTTTGTCCCTTGGTACCTACCACTCGGACTGGCTACAGTTATACACATAGAGTACTTCCTTATGACCTTGCTTTCTATTTGCAATTCCACTCTATGTATGTCTTTTTAGCTATTCATTCTTCACTCATCCCACCTAGTGGATTTGTAATGTAGTGTGTATCACTTCAGTATCAATAGGGTGCATGTTATATTAGAAGTTGTATACAAGTCTGGTGTGGTGGTCAGTGTAGTATTTGTTCCACCCTTTGCTGCCTTCCCACGGGACAAACACACTAGCAACCTTGGTGTATTTTTCCATTCCCTTATAGATCAATGTGTCAATTGGACAGTTTGGTTGAGCAGCAGAATTCAGCCCCACCACCATATAGGATTTACCTGGTGCAGGCTATGATATGACCCACGCTTTGTTTATGCTTACATTCTGTCCATGTTCCGTGCCAAAGCCACAAATTGGTGCAGGTTATATCTGTATTCATTCACCTGTGTGCTTCAACAGCAGTCATTTGTATATGACTGGTTTTGAATAACTCTAATACTTTCCGTGACATTTCCAATCTGTTACAAGTTCTCAGGATAAGAAGTACAATGTCTTCAAGTAGCTGCTCTTTGGTCTTATCCTCTAACTTGAGCATGGCAATACAGACAGTTTGAATAAATCTGAGCATACTGGATAACCTTGGAATATTTGCTCATAGATGACCAACCTAGCAAGTGACTTTGAAACCATACTTTTGTATAGTACTTTACAATCACCCTATTCTAAGGTATTATCCCCATTTTACACATGAGAAAACTGGCCTAGACCAGTTAAAGAAACTCATTGAAACTCACATAGTCTCGTAACTTGAAAAGCGTTAAGTTCAAGTCCAGATTGCCTACTATGTTAAATTGTCAATAACTCTGGGCACGGAGAAATCCAAGCAGTCTGGCCCCCAAACCCATGCTCTTTTTCTTCTTTGGCTATTTGTGATATAAGAAGGGTTCTCTTTAATAAAAAATATTATTGACTGGGTAATATAATTATGTGGTTCAAAATTCAAAGGGTACAAAAAGATATACAGTGAAGAGTTTTTCCCACCCTTGTCCCTCACTATTCGGTTCCCCTACCTGGAGGCATTCACTTACTACTTGTTTGTATGTTTTCCCAGAGGTATTTTATGCATATACAAGCACACACATACATATATTCCTTGTTTTATACTCAAATGGAAGCATGCTATATACATTGTTCTGCACCTTGCTATTGCACTAAATATATTTTAGAGATTGTTCACTAGCAGTCCATAGAGAACTTTGTCATCGTTGGGACTGCTGCATAGTTTTCCACTGAATGGCTATATCATATTCATGGGCATTTGTTTCCAATATTTTGTTATAAACAATGTTGCAGTGAATAGTTTTATATATGATGTGTATATATATATGTGTGTATATATATATGTACACATACACATATATATGTACACATACATACTTGAGGATACTATTCATAGACAATGAATTGCTGCTCTAAAGGGAATGTGCATTTATCTCAATTGTATCCTCAAGTTCCCTTCGGTAGAGGCTCTACCAATTTTTGTTCCTACCAGCAATGTATTGAAAGTGCCTATTTTGCCACAATCTCAACAAAACAAGCATGTTCTCAAACTTTTGGATCTTTACCAATCTGGTAGGTGAAAAATGTTATTTTAGTGTACTTTTAAAAAATAAACTTTATTTTTTAGAACAGTTTCAGACTTCCAGAAAAGTTGCATAGAACAGACTTCTATATATCTTCACTCAGTTTCCTTTAGCGTTAACATCTTACATAGCTCTGGTATATTTGCCATAACTAATGAACCTTATTATTAATGAAAGTGCATAATTTATTCATATTTCCTTAGTTTTTACCTAGGGCCCTTTCTCTGTTCCAGGATCCCATCCAGGATACTGCATGACATTAGTCATTGTCTCCTTTAGTTCCTTTGACTGTGACAGATTCTCAGACTTTCCATGTTTTTGATGAGTTTTCAGGAGTGCAGGTCAGTTATTTTATAGTCAGGACCTGAATACATATGGATTTCTGATTCTCAGGATAGGAAGTACAATGTCTTATAAGCCTCTGTTACAGATAGAGGAGAACCATCAGTGCAAGTGATGTGGTCAAACTTGTCTGATCACTCTGCCTACACTGCGGAGGACGGCCCAGAGGCTCGATTGGAAACATCACATAGGCCGAATAATAAGTCCTTGAAAGCAGAAGCAAGGTTGATAGGGACACATTCCAGAGAAATTAGAAGAGCCAGGATTTGGTGATATTGAATGAGAGAGTAAAGAAGTCATCTAAGTTTACGAGCTGGATATTTTGCCTGTAACCTCTACGAGAAATTCAAGAGAAAATACTTGAACAATTTACAACATACCGGTTACTCAATACGTACTTTCTCTTTTCGTTTCTTGAGCGCTGCCCTACTACAATTCCCAGAGCCTCGCACTCTACCACAATCCCCTTAGAGTCTGCCGCGCAGAGTTCTGGGACTTGAAGTCCGCGGCCTATTTACCCAAGTTAGAGATAGGGGCCTGTGGAAACATGAAGAGGTAAGGGCTTGTCTGAGAGAAGGCGGCGAAGGGAGCTCTGTTCCACCTTTTAACTTTTAAAATGGCTTTTATTACTTTGTGTTTGGGGTATGTCACGTTCTCGGGATGCGGTTTCGTGTGAACGGGAAGACAAAGGAGGAGGGAGGAGGAGAGGCAGGCAAGACAGGCCTGCAGGGTCAAGTTCCGGAAGGGCCGCCGCCGCTGCCGGTTCCCGTAGGAATGCCCTCCCGGCACAGGTATCTAGGCCACGGCGCCGGCCCCAGGAGCTGGACGGATGCTGTGGCTTCTTCCCGTTTCAGACGGACCCACCCAGGTAAAAGGGTCTTGGCTAACTGATGCCCAGCGCCGGAGAAACCCAGACCAGCTCCGCCTTGTCCCGCCCTACCTCGACCTCACCCTCAGAAAGGGGCTCAGGGTGGGCGCATCTATTTGCAGTGTTTGTGTACTAAAGAAGACTTGCTCGAGCCCGGAGAGCATGTAGCGCTTTCAGGTCTTAAAGTAAGCAAGTGGTACTTTGTTTCTACAAATTTAGCAGGCAAGTACAAAGCCGGTTCGATGTATTACAGGAACAGAAACGCACTGCTCCGAGCAGTTCCCCCTACTGGTTCTGCAGGAAATAGCTTTAACTTGGCTGGTCATTGTTGAAAGCCTGACCTTTACAATTACTGACAGTAACGCAAGGCCTTTTTAAAGGAACCTCATTAAATTAGTTTTGTATTCACTCTGCAAGTAGAATAATCACTGTGGAATAGGGCGGAGCATTTAAAATTCTTACTGATATTATGCTCTCCTGCACTGTCAGTTTCTGCATCTTTTAAAAAAACCGTTTCTGATTTTTCCTGCCTCAAAATGACTTAAAAATGTTTATTATGATATATCTCATACATGAAAATAATGTATATATACAGTTTAAAGAATAATAATAGAAGTCCCCTGTGTGCCCCTTCCATATTGCTTCTCCCTCCCTTCCCCCTGAGGGGACCACTATCCAGAATTTTGCACTAATCATTCCCTTGCTTTTTTTTTTTTAAATAGTTTTCCTACATGTGAATTTATCCTTAAACAAAGTGTTCCTATTTTTATCCATTTTTCAACTCTTTATAAATGGACACATGTTGTATGACTTTTTTGTGCTTGCTTTTTTTCACTTAACATTTCTTTTTGAGAGTCAAAGCCACTTTAAACGTAGCAAGCACTTTCAGAATTGTAGATAATAAATAAAAATTAAGATACTTAAAAGGAATTTTTTAAAACCCTGGGCCTAAGGATATTTTAAAGTTTCCCAAAATAAGCCTAAGTCTTTCTAGAGCATGGGAATCTTGCTTATAATTATGGGAGATACATCTTCTAGGCCTCATCTTAACCCCAATAGTAAAGGGCTATTTTATAAGGAAGGTGTGCATTGTGTGTAAGTAGGTATTTAGTAAATGTTTGTGGAATGAATGATAAAGGGCAACACATAGTTAGGGAAATATCTTTGAACAAATGAGGTCACTAATGGTAGATAATATAGATAAAGAATATATTTTGAGATTTACTGTCTCTTCTACTTTCTGTATATATTCTTATATCTACTCCAGGGTAAATAGCTGTGTGAAGAATGATGAGCATGTCCTGGAGGAGTTGGAAACAGAAGGGGAGAGGCAGCTGAAAAGCCTCCTTCAGCATCAACTTGATACCTCTGTCTCCATTGAGGAGTAGGTATTGATTTTGCAGACAAGTAGAGTATCATAGCCCCTCACCTTCAGGTGACAGACCCCTCTTAAAGCCTGGATGGAACACTCCTCTCCAACCCCCCTTTTCTTGGCAAACGTATACTTATTAGGCAGGATTTTGCTTCTGTGTCTCTTACTCTAGGATGCCTCCCATATCCCACTAAGTCTGGGCTAAGTGCCTTTCCTATGTCTTCCCTTAACATACATAGCACTTCTAACCCACTATTATCATTGCCTCTTTACTTGCCTCTCTTCCACAAAAACAGAAACCATTTTCATCTTTTTTACTGTTAAATCCTCAGTACCTAGCACAGTATCTGATGTATAGTAGGTACTCAATAAATAAATAAATATTTGATTCAGTCATTTATTAGTCCTGGAAGAAGGGATTATTGACAGGTTCCATATCATTGCAGTGCTGCTTCAGTCTAGAAGTGGGACATGAGAGAGAAATTGCCAATGAGTTTCATTGTGCCTCTTTTCGTAGTGAGCCCCATTTCTGTAAATTACGGTAGCTTGAAGATTTTTCTTACTCTCTTCTTGCTTGTTTTGCAGATGCATGTCTAAGAAAGAGAGCTTTGCTCCTGGTACTATGTACAAGCCCTTTGGGAAGGAAGCAGCTGGGACGATGACTTTGTCCCAGTTTCAGACGCTGCATGAGAAGGACCAGGAGACTGCTTCTCTCAGGGAACTAGGGCTCAATGAAACAGAAATCTTGATCTGGAAGAGCCATGTTTCAGGTGAAAAGGTGAGTGGGGCAATTTTTTTCTGGAGAATAAAGAACGAGAGCTCTTCATTTGGCACTGAGAACCTTTTCATTTTTAGTTCTCACAAAACTGAGCTTTGTGTCTGAATCTATGGTTTCTAGGATAGGGACCTTGGTAAAAGAGAAGCTGTTCCTTGACTTCTTAGCTAACATGTCTGTAAACGATCATTTCTGGGCTCTGATCATCTTCTTTCTTATTTGAGGCATCAGATCTTCACTTTCAGGGTGTGTCCTCTATGATATATGCCGTCTCATTTCTCTGGTTTCAGAGGGCAAGACTGAGGGCAACTCCTGAAGCAATACAGAACCGTCTTCAAGATATTGAAGAAAGGATCTCGGAGCGTCAGCGCATCCTTTGCCTGCCACAGAGATTTGCAAAGAGTAAACAGCTGACCCGACGAGAAATGGAAATAGAAAAGTCATTATTTCAGGGAGCTGATCGTCACTCCTTCCTCAAGGCTCTTTATTACCAAGGTATGTGATCGCCAGTGACTTTGATGTATTCTTTCACTGAGAGAAAGATTTAACATCAGGGCATTAACTGTGAAGAGTTAGTGAATGGAGTACGGGAAAGATGAACTATCACTACTCTTGAGGAATGTATAGTCCCTTGAGAGCAAGAGATATCTACAAAGTTACAGTACACCATGTACTGTACAAGGTTGTGGTATACCATGGAAATTGCCATTGTAGAGATGTGAATAAATGCTGAAGGAGCACAGAACATAGAACATCTGAGTCTAGTTGGGGGAGTCAGGAGTTGACATTTGTACTAAGTCTTGACAGACGAACAGGCAATTTGTCACGTAAATAAGGGGGAGAGGGCATTACAGATAGTAGGTAAATAGGAACAGCATTGTGAAAGGACCTGGTGTGTCTAGGGAACAATGAAAAGTTCAGTGTGGCAGGAAGTATAGGACATGGCAGGGAATGATAGGAGATGACACTGGAAAGGTGGATGAGGCTGGATTGTGAAGGGTCTTGAAGCTGAACTATACATTAGCACAAAATATATAGATAAATGGTATGTGTCTTAACTAGAAAGAATTAGTTTAACATATAAGTTTTGCTAGGCACTGTGGAAGGTACACAGAAGTTTAAGAAATGGTTCCTGCCTTTGTGCCAATTACAGTCTGGTAAGAGAGAGAGAAACATATGACATTTAGTAACAGTGCTAGATAACAGTTGTTAAGTGCTGTAGGAGTTCAGAGGAAGGAAAGGCCACTGTGTATTGGCATGGCTGAAGAAGGCTTTCAGAGGAGGTAAGATTTAAATGTTCTTTTAATACTACCTATTCTTTAGGAGGGAGAGGGACAGCCATTTCAGTTGTAGCAGATGGTGTGAGCACTGTGGTGTGTTTGGGGGTGTTGTGAGAGACAAGGTTACAAAGGTAGTTAAAAAAATTTTGAACTTTATTTGGTGAGTAGTATAGACCTATACAGAGTTAGTTAGTTAGTTTAGATATGGTTAAACGTTTTTGAGCCCAGAGTAACATGATAAAAGCAGTATTTGAAAATGATTAATCTGGTGGCCAATAAATAGATTGAGAGAGGGGAAGAACTGGAAGCAGGGAGAATGATTTAGGAGATATTACAGTTATTTAGGCATGAAGATCTGGACTAGAATGATGACAGTGGATTTGAAAAGAGTGGTGGGTATGGTTATAAGAGACATTACAAAGGAAGAATTGGTAAAACTTGTTGACTGAGAATGAAGGAGGAGGGTTAATGCAGAGGAATGTGTCAAAGATAACCCAGATGTTTCAAGGCTGCATGACTTAACAATTGTCTAAATTAAGAAAGCTTTTATGGGGAAATTTTGAGGAAAGATGATGAGTTTGATTTTAAACATGTTGAATTTGTGAGAATGGCAGGATCATTAAATGCAGATATTGAGGAGGCAGTTGGAAATGCAGCAGTGAAGCTCAGGGGCAAGGTCAGAACTAGATATGTAGAAATGGGAATCGTGTATGCTTAGATGATAGGTAAAATCCCCAGAATGTGTGAATTATTTGTTAGAGACAGAGAGACCATAGACATGAAAGAGCAGTGGTGAAGGAAGCAAAAGAACAAGTGAACAGCCTTTTGTAGAGAGACATCGTAGCATACTGATTAAGAACATGGACTCTAGAAGCAGACCGCTGGGAAAATTCCAGCTCCCCCACATACTAGGTATAAGATGTTGGACAAGTTACTACTCTTTGCTTCAGTTTCTTCATCTGTAAAATGAGAATATTAATAGTAAATATACTATAGGGTCATTAGGAGGATTAAGTGAGGTAGTACATGTAAATCACTTAGAGTAGTACCTGGTATTTGAGGGGGGTGGGGGGTGTATGAATCTGTTCTGTTTCCTATCTTTGAAACTCCTTGCTTTAAACCTTCACAGCATACCACAAAAAGACAAGTGCAGACAAGTACATGACCTCAATGAAGAGGAAGATAAAATTAGGCACAAAAGGCAAGTCGAGAGTTTTCTTACAGTGTTAGATTTAGGAATGTATCATAGGGTCCCAGACTTCTAAGTTGAGTGCTTATTTAATGCCATATTCAGAATATGACAATGTTTTTAGGAAATGATCCAGAGGGAGCATATTATCCTGATATAGAATATTAACGAGAGGAGTTAGTAGAAGTTGTAACGTAACTAAACGTTGTAACGTAACTAAAAGTTGTACATTTAGTGTTGTTGATTTTTTTCTCTATACCTTTAAGTTATTGTAGTGGACATAAAATGTCCATAATGATTTTTAGATCCTATTTCACAACTAATTCTGAATATTTTTATTAATCATTAAAGTATAACTATTGATGATGATGATGATGATATAATAGCTAATATTTGATTTTTTATGTGAACTTGCAATAAAATTGCCTGATTTTTTTTGACGTGCAATACTGTGAGTTGTAAATTATGTAGATTCATATAACCACCACCACAATCAGGATAGAGAACAGCTCCATCACCCTAAAACTTCCTCATACTATCCATTGATAGTCACTCCCAACTTCACCCATAATCTCTGGCAATCGCTGATCTGTTCTCCATCGCTGTAGTTTTGTCTTTTAGAGAATGTCATATAAATGCAGTCATACAATATGTAATCATTTGAGAGTGGCTTCTTTCATTCAGCATAATGCCTTTGAGATTCATCCAAGTTGTTGTGTGTGTCAGTAGTTGGTGTTTCATTGTATGGTGTTTCATTGTATGGATGTTACAAACTTTCTTTATCCATTCTCCCATTGAAGTGCATTTGGGCTGTTTCCAGGTTATGGAGATTATGAATAATACTGATATGAACATTCTTGTACAGGTTTTTTTGTGAACATAAATTTTTATTTCTCTAAGGTAAATATCTAGGAGTGGGATTACTGGGGTCATATGGTAAGTGTATGTTTAACTTTATAAGAAACTGCCAAACCATTTTCCAGAGTGGCTCAACCATTTTGCATTCCCACCAGCAATGTATGAGAGTTCTAGTTGCTCTACATCTTTGTCAGCATTTGGTATTGTTGATATTTATTTTAGTTATTCCAATAGCTGTGAAGTGATATCTCATTGTAGTTTTAATTTGCATTTCCTTAATGGCTAATGATGTTGAACATCTTTTCATATGCTTATGTGCCATCCTTATATCCTGATTGCTGAAGTGTCTATTCAGATCTTTTGCTGTGTTTTAATTGGGTTGTTTATTTTCTTCCTGATGACTTTTGAGAGTTCTTTATATATTCTAAATGCAATTCTCGGTTGGATATCTGATTTTCAAATATTTTATCCCAGTCTATAGCTTGTTTTTTTCATTCTCTTAACAGTGTCTTTTGCAGAGCAAACTTTTTTTTTATTGTGGTAAAATAAACCTTACATAAAATTGACCATTTTAACCATTTTTTAAGTGTACAGTTCTGCAGCATTAAGTGTAGTCACATCGTTATGCAACCATCATCACCATCCATCTCCAGAACTTTTTCATCTTCCCAAACTGAAACTCTGTACCCATTAAATACTAACTCCCCATTCCCCCCTTCCCTCAGCCCCTAGGAAGCACCATTCTACTTTCTCTCTCTGTGAGTTTGACTACTGTAGGTGCCTCATTTAAGTGGAATCATACAGTATTTGTCCTTTTGTGACTGGCTTATTTCACTTAGCATAATGTCTTCAAAGTCATCCACGTTGTAGTATGTGTCAGAATTTCCTTCCTTTTTAAGGCTGAATAATATTCCATTGTATGTATCTATCACATTTAGTTTATCCACTCATCTGTCAGTGGACACTTTTGTTGCTTCTACCTTTTGGCTATTGTGAATAATGCTGCTGTGAGCCTGGATGTACAAGTATCTGTTCGAGTCCTTGCTTTCAGTTCTTTTGAGTATATACCCAGAAGTAGAATTGCTGCATCATATGGTAATTCTATGTTTAATATTTTGAGGAACCACCATACTGTTTTCCGTAGAGGCTGCACCATTGTTCATTCCTACCAGCAATGCGCAGGGATTTCAGTTTCTCCGCATCCTTGCCAACACTTATTTTCTTTTTTCTAATAGCCATCCTAAATGGTGTGAAGTGGTATCTCATTGTGGTTTTGATTTGCATTTCCCTAATGACTAATGATGTTGAGTATCATTTCATGTGCTTATTGGCCATTTGTATGTCTTCTTTGGAGAAATGCCCATTTAAGTCTTTTGCCCATTTATAAATGGGTTGTTTATTTATTTGTTGTTGAGTTGTAGGAATTTTTTAATATATTCTGGATATTGATCCCTTATTAGATATATGATTTGCAAATATTTTATCCCATTCCATGAGTTACCTTCTCACTCTATTAATAATGTCCTTTGATGCACAAAAGTTTTTATTTTTGATGAAGTCCGATTTGTCAGTTTTTTCTTTTGTTACCCGTGCTTTTAGTGTCATATCCAATAAATCATTGCCAAATTTAATGTCATAAAGCCTTCTCCTATGTTATCTTGTGAGAGTTTTATAGTTTTAGCTCTTACATTTAGGTCTTTGGTCCATTTTGAGTTAATTTTTGTATATGGTATAACGTAAGGGTCAAACTTAATTTTTTGCATGTTGATGTACAATTTTCCCAGTACTACCTGTTGAAAAGACCATTCTTTCCCCCACTGAATGGTCTTGACAGCTTTGTTGAAAGTCATTTGACCATAAATGTGAGAGTCTCTTTCTAGGCTATCCATTCTATTCCATTGGTATAAATGTCTTTATGCCAGTGCCACACTACTTTAATTACTGTAGATTTGTAGTAAGTTTTGAAATCAGGAAGTATGAGACCTCTAACTTTGTTCTTCTTTTTGAAGATTGTTTTCACTATTTGGGGTGCCTTGAGATACCACGTGAATTTTGGTATGGATTTTTCAATTTCTGCACAAATTGTCATTGGGATTTTGATAGGGATTGCATTGAATCTGTAGATCACTTTGGGTAGTATTGACGTCTTAACAATATTAAGTCTTCAA